ATCTTATATGGCGGGGCTGTGAGGACCTTCACTGAGGCCCACTGGACCTCAGAGGGGACACAGCTGGCAGAGAGGGACTGTAACCAGAGAGCTCAGGTAAAGAAAACACTGCTGGAGATGATCTGTTACAAAGATGCCAGTTACCAAGGAGGTTGCTAAGAGAAGTCAGCACGTTTGTTAGCTTGGGCCAAGTTGGCTCTCCCCACTGCAGGCAAACTTGATTCACATAAGGAGGTGGAGGAAGCAGGGGTGCAAGAGAAAGGTTCAAAGCAGGAGTTCCAGAAGTGGAGCAGCCCTCTGGGATAGATTAGAGTGACATGTGTGAGTTTAGTTTCCAGTAGCAAGACACTGCATTTTTCTTCTTCTTCTCCTTTTTCCTGATGGAGGAAGACAAGCCTCTGAGATATTCAAGCAGCGCTAAATCCACAAGTGGATTACCTGGGAAACAGCTGGACCCAGAAGAGACTCCTGAGGCCTTAGCACCCAGAGCCTCAACAAAGTGACCTAAATGTATTACCTAAGTCAAAGGACCGACAGGAACACTGTACCATTCTCTGAAGGCAAAGACAGAAGCAAAAGAAGTAAATGAGAAAAAGATCAACAGAGAGTGAAGTCACCCAGAGAGAGATGTGCCATAATTTTCATTTAGTGTTTCCATAAGCTTACCCTAAAAACATTTATTTATTATCTAGTATGGTGTGGAACATGATGGTTTAAATTTGTAGGGCTCTTGAACACAAACTTTTCAAGAGAACTGGGAGCAAAGTTGAAAGTCTGATAACAAACACATGTAGCTACCACTTGGTGGCAGCATATTTAAACTAAAGACAGCAATGGTGAGGAGTGTCTGTGTGTGTGTGTGTGTGTGTGTGTGTGTGTGTACATGCACGCACACACACAAGTTCAGGGGAAGGGCCCAAAAATCTCAGGATCAGAACTCAATACTGCTCCCCAGCCCCTTTCATTCAACACTGGGAGCCTCTCTGACAACCTTCCCACTTAGTAGTTGTTTGGATTCCCCTTGGGGACTATATTACTATCCCCTTTCCAAAATTTAAGTCAGAAAGGGGCAGATTTAAAATGGATAACCAACAAAAACCTATTGTATAGCACATGGAACTCTGCTCAATGTTATGTGCCAGCCTGGATGGGAGGGAGTTTGGGGGGGGAGAATAGATACATGTATGGCTGAGTCCCTTCACTGTTCACTTGAAACTATCACAACATTGTTAATTGACTATACCCCAATACAAAACGTTTTTGGTGTTAAAAAAAAGAAAGGGGCAGATTTGTCCCAACACAGTTAGATACCTCTGGAGCAATGATATGAGCTGGCCTAGCTGCATCCATTACGTTGTCCTGTGAGCAGATGAGTGAATGAGTCATTGAGTCAGTTAGTGAATAAACACAGCCTAGTTTCCTTAATATATTTATTTTCAGCTTCTAGGGTTGAATTGTAACAAGGCGAGACACTGATAACCTCTGCTATTCCATTTAGAAATAACTCTCCTTTAAGTATCTGTCCCAGGGCGGGCAAGTGCAGACTTGAGAGGAAGGTCAGGCCAGGAGGGTCCTCCAGCCCAGTGGGCAGCTGAGAGCCTTGATCCCTGGGAATCTGCAAACCCAGCTTCCTGACCCAGTTCTCCCTCGACGGGACTTAAGAAAGTTACTTAGTTTTGGCACCTTAATGGCCATTTCTCTCTAAAATGAAGATGACTATCCTCCAAGCCCCAGATGATCAGATGAGATCACAGAGATAAAATCAGTGCACTGAGAGGAAAGGCCAATGTTCCCAGTGATAACTCTGCTGGGTGCTGTTACAAACATATGTCTTAGATTGATCGGTTTGCCCTGCTTATTTATGACCTAACCTGCCTTCTCTCCTAGAGTTACCGGCCACTGGTAGTGAAATGAATGGTTCCTCCCCAGGTACCAGTGGCTGCTGCTTCTGGGCTAGTAGTCATTCTCAAGGTTAAACCACAGACAGAAACACAAATCATATCTAGATTCAGAAAATTCAGAGATTACAGGATCTAGCAAGTGAAAAATGCAGCAGGTTTCCTTTGCCCATTCCGCCAACAGCCGAATTTTATAGCCTGCCCGTCTACGGCCTCCTCCTAGCTCCAAGGCAACCAGAATCTCCCCCACCCTATCCTGGCCCCATGTAACTTTACAAGTTGCCAACTGGCCGCAGACCAGGCAAGCTCCCTAGCACTCCGCTGCCTTGGAAAGTGCTGGAGAGGCTCAGGGCTCCCGCTGTGAGAGGCCTGGCAGACCAGGAGGAGTGGGATGGCTGCCCTTAGTGTTCCCGCCAGCTCTGCACTGATGTGGTAGGAGGATTCGTGTGCTGGAGCATCCAGAGGCATAACGGGGGTTAAGGCTCTCTGTCAACACTAAATCAACTGCCAATAAAGTGGGGGCTTCTCTCATTGTCCAACGGCTCCACCACAGGGACCCAGGGCAGAAATGTTGATGCGTGGTCTCTGGCTTCCCACAGGGGTACTTCTTGTTCTCCAAACGTTCTTTTGTGAATGGGTCTGTGTTCCAGATTGCAAGGGACCGTGTCTCCCCTGCACCCCGTTTTCTCACCAACAATGGGGAGAAGTAAGTGGCTGAAACACCGATGCTCCAGAATTGCTTGCTGGGTCCACAGAGAGAGGGATGGGTGTGCAAGGGCCACAAGGCACCAGAGGCTGTTTTGTGAGCCAACATCTGGGCCACAGAAAGAGGAAGCCAGGCTGGAGCTGCTGGATGGTTTTTCTAAAAAGAAACCAGGACTACAAATTTGTGGTTTTAGATGGAAATTTCTGGAATGGAGTAAGGAATGTAGTCCTAGAGACAGAGAGACCTGGGTTCAAACCTGGGCTGTATCACTTATTAGCTGTGAGACCTTGGGAGAGCTGCTTAACTTCTCTGTGCCTCGGTTTCCCCATTTGTAAAGCACAGGTAATTAAGAGTACCGCTGACCAGCTGCTTGGACGATTCTGAGGGGTACAGGATGCGGATGGTGGGGATGATGCCTTCTCTCCTCACCTCCCTGCTGGGTCATAGCTCATTTGGGAAGAGCTTCCATCAGCACCTCCGGTCCTCCCAGTCAGGTGCTGGAAGAGACTTTCTACCACTCTTTCCCTCTTTCTTCCCCTCCCCCAGAGGAGCAGCCAGTCTGATGGGCAAGCACCTAGCAACCACAGGACCACACCTTCCAGGTGTTGGGGCTGCAGTGTCAAAGGCCCTGTGGTATCAGGGTTCACTTTTGGCCACCCAACCTGCCCACATTTGCGTCTCCAAAACGCCCGCTTTTCTGTTCATAGGTGGGAAAATCAGGCTCCACTCCCTGTGGGGCCAGATCCACATGGTCTTCTTCTCAGGCTGAAAGTTGGCAATACTCAATCCAGCCCATTCCAGAAAGTCCTCTATCAAAAGAGCTGATAGATGCATTGATGAGTATTTGTCCTGTCTTTCTTGAATCTACTAATTAGACCAGAGGGAAGGACAGCGAAGATGTAGGCAGTGTTTCAAAGTTCTTAGCATCTCATTGCAAATAATGGTGACATGAAAAGAAGGCTCTTAGAGGGCCAGCTGTGTGGTCCTCCTGCTAAAACGCTGATATGTGCATTGAAATCCCATGTTATTTACACCAGTGGTTCTCCAGGGGAGCAGCACTGCCCTCTAGAGGGTATTTGGAAGACTTGTGAGGGTATTTTGGGTTGTCACCATGATACAGGGACATGACTGACATTGAGCAGAAGACAGAAAGAGGCTACAACACCTTCAGTGCGGGGGGACAGCATTATTTTGGGTCCCTTGTGACTTTAAAATAGTTCGCTAGACCCATACATGTATTTAAAAAATAACTGCTTATGATATGTATGTATACATATGCGTGTATTCATATAGATCTGTTAATATGTATACACATGTGTATATATTTTTAAAATTAATATCAGCAGGTATAAGGAAAAATATGGGCAAAAAATATCTACCAAACTATTTAAAGTGCTATAGTGGTTGGTGGAGTGGAGTCATAGACTTGTAATAACTTGGTTATACATTTTTGTTTCCAATTTTTGGAAGAATGTGCTATTTTTGCTATTGAATAAAACAATTAAGATAAACAAAAAAGGGCAAAATTTGTTAAGCACTTTACAAAAAAATTATGCCCTGGAGATATGATATTTTGGAAATAAGTTTATTATACATTAATTCAGTAAAATTAGGTTAATGGGAAAAAAAGGTTTTCATAATTTTCTGAGCCTAGAAGCTAAACTATTTAATTTATAAAATACAACTTTTACTTTTGCATGGTTGTCATATACATTAAAATTTCCAGGAATTCCATTACTATAAAAATGGGGAGGAGAATGCGAGAAATCACTCACCATTTAGGAAAATTCAGGTATTGATGCCAGCACTGCTGGCAGTAGCCAAGTCACCAAAACAATGAACATATCGGCCAGCATTTGAGATTGTGCCAGTTTCAGTGATTCAGAGTGTAGGTGACTGCATCTGCCTAATGCACCATGTCCTCAGGTGCAGGTACACCTCAGCATTCCTCTCCTAGTTCTCTTCTATATTTCAATCAGGGCAATATTTGATTTCTAAAAATTTCATGTGTATTGTTAGGTAGGTTATATTACACGAATCTCATGTCAGCGTAGTGGATGGGGGAGCATTACAGAATGTGTGCTATAAAAAAGGGACCACTGGGACTGATAAGAGTCAACAGCCACTGATGTCACTTCTGGGATCTGAAGGCAACACTTTCATCAACTCTGCCTTCCAGGCCCCTGCTTAAACTTTCCCGTAACAAAGCAGGAAGTCTGGAGAACAATTCTGCTTGTCATAGCACACAATGACCTGTCTAACTTTGTGTAAAACGGGATCTTCATCTCTCTGGAGCTGGGGTAAGGGTAAGCAAGGGACTTCCCCCACACACAGCAGAAGGAAGAAACGCTTTTGTCAGCAGAAAGACAGAAGCAGAACTGAGCCGGGCTACTTACACAGGTCCTCGGTGGCAGCTGGGACCAAGGCCGCCATGGACTCGTATAGCTCCTCGTCACAGCCGGGGTTGAGGGAGCATTTCATGAGCAGGTCTGTGGACAGGTGGGCCATGGACTCATATACAGAGTCAGCCTCCTCCCCTTGCATCAGCTCTTCTTTAATGTGACTCTTCAGCATGTCCACAGTTTCCTGAAAGAGAGGGAGGGCCCCACGGGCACGCTGACACAGCCGGGCTCTCTGGGCAGCGTCAGGTGCGCGAGTGGGCTTGTGACAGTTGAGTAAAGGTTCACAAGAATCAGGGTTGCAACTGGGAGTGCAGGTCTGTATTTCCCACCACACTGAAAGCTCCTTGAGGAGCTGGGCTCCAAGTCTTTGTTCTCTGTCCTTTGTTTTCACCTCTGTATCTTCCTCCAGCACTAAGGAGCAGTTAGGCACCCAGAGGGGACACCTGTTAAATGTCCAATGCCCGAAGGATACAAATCTCCCACCTTCTCATGAGTGCCTTTGACGTGTCAGGCAAGGGCTAGCGATGCGCTCATGCAGTGTCTCCCGACATCCTTTCCACTGCTGCTTCTGTTCCCTGGCTCACAGATGAGAAAACCTAAGCTCAGAAAAATCTAGTGCCTTACTCAAGGATCCGCAAGCCTGGCTTCTGACTTTCCTACCACACCTTCGTGGTTCCTCAAACGGGAACAAATGGCACACAAAGGTGGAACCTTTGCTGATTAGCCAGATGGAAATTCAAATGGGCTAAACAGGGCTGCAGCTAAGTTGCATAGTCAGAAGTCCCTTGGGAACTTGGTTCACCTGTCCTTGTTCCTTACATTAGGCTGCTCCAAAGTGCCTGACAGCACACTTCTCCAAAGTGCCCACCTCAGTTTTAAATCCTTTGTCCAGAGGGAGAGGTGGTCTTGGGTGAAATGCACTGAAGTCGGAGAACACCCCCCCCCAACCCTTTGGTCAATCTGCCTCCAGGTGGTGGTGAAGCCTGAGAGGTGACTTCTCTGAAACCCCTGCACAACTTTTCCTGGTAAGAAACTCTGGTGTTTCACAATCCTTATTTCAGCATCAACCCACAAAAATCCTCATTTTCATCATCACTACTACCCCATGAGCACTAATCTGCTCTTGACACTCTGTGTTGGTTTCCTGATGAACCCCAAGGAACGGACGAGGTGACAACTGTGGAGTNAATCCTTATTTCAGCATCAACCCACAAAAATCCTCATTTTCATCATCACTACTACCCCATGAGCACTAATCTGCTCTTGACACTCTGTGTTGGTTTCCTGATGAACCCCAAGGAACGGACGAGGTGACAACTGTGGAGTGTTGGAGACTCAGAGTCTGGCTTTTGGTTTTGATATGGTGGAAAGAGGAAACAAATGGGATGATTCTTTGGAGTCATCAACAACACGGAGAGATGACCTTTGTGGGGCAAAGCTGGAGATGCATTGGTTGAAGTGATTGCAGTCTGAGAACAAAGATGATACGACAAATGTGAACCAGATTAACTTCAGTGCAAACTGGACATGCATCTTTCCATGTCCCTATGACATAAAGTAGGATAACAGGCCCCAGCTTTAGCATCAACTAGGTTCACATCCTATCTCCACCCTGACAAGTGTGGGGCCCTTGGTACGACTACTCTGCCTTTTGAGGCCCTTTTCCTCCTTTATTGAAGAAAGATAATAATATTGTCAACTTCAAAGAATAGTGGTGAGGGCTCAAGAAGACAATGCATTTGCCAATCAAATAAATGCAAATAAATAGTGGTCATTAATATGAACACAGTATGCTCTTAACAAAAATTATTGGCAGGGAAATGAAACACTGCCTTTTATACATTTTTGACTCCAAAGTGAAGCCAAGTAAATGCTTCTAGACTGTAAGTACCTTTTAGCTTCATTTATGCCAATGATACACCAAATAGGCACTCATGCTATTCTATTCATTCAATATATTTAATCACTCCCCAAATTTGGGGGGCCTCTCTATGTGTCTCAGTGAGTCATTGCCTTGTAGATTGTCAAGTCCAGAGCAGAGAGATAAGTTTCTGGGGAGGTGTCAGGCTCACTCCTGTCTGACTGGATTGTGGTCATTGTTCCTTTTGAGGTCATAGCCTCATATGAGAGGCTGAGCTGTTTCTGCATTGCTGCTGTGAATCATGAAAAGGGAAGAAAACCAGAAAAGGGTGGAGTCACAAAGGGCATCTGCCTCCAAAACAATGGAAGGAATTTGGGGGCATGTAACAAGGCCAAGATACAGGATGAGATTACACTCAAAGAAGGACCCCCAAGTCAATGATAGAGGGGGATCTGTGGATCCTAAACTAGAGAAGCAGTTAAACCTGAAGACAGGCAGAGGCTCAGAAAGAAAGAGAGGTTGTCAGGAGGTGGGGCCTCACGGCTGGCCTCCCTGTAGCCTCAGTTGCAGAGTTTTACAGTGGTCAGTGCTAAGAAAGGAACCAAGCTTAACAGTTAACCTGGGCTTGATGGTGGGCGAAGCAGCTGGGAACATCCTGCCAAGTGCCTTGGAGGTGGGTGGGAGTCAGCTGGAAAGAGGAGTTGGCATCTGCCCTCAGCAGATTCACTCGACAAATGTCCCTGTAAATTCTTCGAGGGTGGATCTTAGTGCTTTACCTACACTATCTCTTTGTATTCTCAAAACAACCCTAAGAGTAGAACTATTATCATCTTTCTCCTGCATATTAGGAAACTGAGAGAGAAAGAGGATAGATACATGATTTTCCCAAAGTTATGTGGCTAACAAGTATTGATGAGGAAACTGGACCCAGGTCCATGTGACTCCAGGCTTCCCAGGTGACACTAGTGGTAAAGAACCTGCCTGCCAAAGCAGGAGATGTTAAGAGATGTGGGTTTGATCCCGCATTCAATCCTGGGTGGGGAAGATCCCCTGGAGGAGGGCATGGCAACCCACTCCGGTGTTGCCTGGAGAATCCCATGGACAGAGCAACCTAGTGGGCTACAGTCCATGGGTCGCAAAGAGTTGGACACGACTGAAGTGACTTAGAACGCACGCATGCACGACATGTGACTCCAGGGCTCATCTCTTCCGCCCGCGTACACTGGCCCTGCCAGCAGAGGCACAGGAGGACGTGCTAGAGATGAAGTCCAGCCAGATCTTTGGTGCAAAGGCAGCCCTGGGGACCACATCGTGCATTTCCAATTCCCGGGCCCCCCGCCTTGACCTTACCACATACTCGTCGATGAACTGCCGCAGGTCCCGGAAGCCGTGCTTCTCGGCGATGGTGTTAGGATAGTGGCCGTGCTTGTTGGCGACACTGTAGGCCTGTAGGGCTCCCGGGCAGGTGAGCAACAAGGCAGTGAGGTTCTTTAGTCCGTACTTGGCAGCAAAGTGCAACAAAGTGGGCAGCTCTTCATCCCTTTGATCTGAAAAATTGTCAAGGAAAATGTAATGATCAGAGAAAGCCCAGGGCACCATGCTCATGCAGATGACACTGGAAACCGAGTGTGGCACCCAGCGGATGCTCAGTCATTGCTTCTTGGTTGACTGACCTAACATCTAATGGCTTTTCCTATGGGGCACCACTGAAGATGACAGAAGAAATGATATGTCAATTAATTAGCAAATCTATCATGAATATCCTGCCTTCTTTCTCTAAAAGGACTGGAGAATCCTGAGAAATAACACCAGTTCAAAATATGTGGATGTTCTAAGGGTTTTTTAAAAAAACAGCCATGAAGAACAACAGGGATTGTGTTTTGAATGTTTCTTCAAATTTCAGAACACTTTAAAATAACCGCTTTATGCTGATTAAACGAAAGAAATCCTGGGACTTCCCTGGTGGTCCAGTGGTTAGGACTCAGTGCTTTCACTACTGTGGGCACATGTTCAATTCCTAGTCAGGGAACTAAGATCCCGCAAACTGTGTGGTGTGACGGAAAAAAAAAAATCCATCTTCTTAGCACTTATGCCCAGTTTCATAACATGTGCCAAGTAATCCTGAGGCTGTTACTTAGACTTTCCATGACCTTTAGTTTTGAACTAGAAAATATTTCCGGACTATCTCAAAGGGACCTGGGAGGATTAACAAGGTGGTTTTCAGTGAGCTCTTTGTTGAGGACAGGCTTTGAGTGATGGTAGGAACGTACACGAACCCAAGGATGTCCATTAACCTTCCGCTTTTTGAGAAATGAAGTGCTCCTGAGAGTCACTGGTCCCCAGGGGCCCCTCCACCTACTAATACATGATACAGCAAGTCAAACTCAACCAAGGAAATAGACGTGTTTGTTTTGGGAAGTTGGAGACAAACCTCTTTTTTTTATTTTTATAAAAGTTGATTTCTAAGCCCAAAGTGAAAGTGAGGGTCGCTCAGTCGTGTCCAACTCTTTGTGACCCCACGGATTATACAGTCCATGGAATTCTCCAGGCCAGAGTACTGGAGTGGGTAGCCTTTCCCTTCTCCAGGGGATCTTCCCGACCCAGGAATTGAATCGAGATCTCCTGCATTGCAGGCAGATTCTTTACCAACTGAGCTATGAGGGAATCCCAAAAGTGATAGATAAATAAAGAGATAAATATATGTATATATACATATGTCATATATATATGTGTGTGTGTATAAATACATATATGTATTTTTTTAATAAGACAAACCCACGGATATCCTGGTGGTCGAGTGGTTAAGACTTTGCCTTACAATGCAGTGGGTTTGGGCTCAATCCCTGGTCAGGGAGCTAACATCCCACGTCTTGCAACCAAAAAAAAAACCCAGAACATAAACAACAAAAACAATACTGCAACAAATTCAATAAAAACTTTTAAAATGGTCCATGTTGAAAAAAACCTAAAAAAAAAAGACAAGCCCAGCATCCTATTTACCAGGATATAATCTTTGGAATGAAGGTCTGAAAATGTCCCCAGGATTCCCCATGATTGTCAAGCTATGAAATATTCTTTCCTGAGCCTGAATATGGAATATTAACACCCACTGAAAGTGATGCAAGAACATTCCACAGTAGGAAAATGGGGAGAGGCAACAAGAAAATGCCCCTAGGAGAAGTACTTGAAGGTAACATAACCTCATACTTATGGTTCTCAGAGGCTGTGGAAGGATAAAATGCAGGCAGTGAGTAACCAGAGACTTGGGTTCCTCCTGGGCAGTGCAGCTGTGGCGTGAAGGAAAAATGGCATCCACAAAAGTGCCACAACAAGCATCCAGTCCAGCGTGCAGGGCATCATCCCCATGAAAGTGGTTCTCCCAGCTACCAGCAAGGCACACATGCCCACAAGACTGCTCCTCCCTTGTCAAACAAATAATTGTTTTGTGCCTACTGTGAGCCACCAGGCACAGTCCCTGTGTTCATCCAGCTGACAGACCAGCAAAACAGACAGACAAAGCTGAAGTGTACGAGAACCCGACACGCTAGGGGAGCCTACAGCATGCAGGTGGGACCTACTTGGGGAAGTGCTTCCTAAGCTGCTACAGCAGGAGGGGAGGAAGAAGCTGTACTCTCATAGGTTGAGGTAGCAAGAGGCAGGGTGAAATTTTCATTAGGTGAAAGAAGTTCATACCTTCTGTAGAGCAGAGCATAGAAGCCAAGGGAGAGAACAGAGAGGGGTGAGAGCAGAAACACTGGAGGAGCCCCTGGGGAAGGGCTTGTGAAAGGTTAAGCAGTTTGGACCTCAGAAGACAAGTGGGAACCACAGAGGGTATTCAGTAAGGGAGTGAGATATTTGGGCTTATAATTTAGAAGAATCTCAGGCTGACCAGAGAAGAATAACTGTTTCTCAGAGGATGAACGGAAGAGCAGGACCCAGTAGAAAGCATGAGCACAGGCTTACTGCATGCTGAAACAGATCAACTGAAATCGACCTGCTGCCTTTTCCTTGAGTTTTGACTGTTGACTTACTTGTCATCATGTCTTCTTCTTCCAGCTGGTTGATTCCAAAGAGGTGCAGCCCACTCGCAGGAATGTTGTTCTTCAGGGACTCTGTTAGCAGTTTATCAAGGGTCTCCGTGTTGTAGGGCACAATTTTGAAGGCCTAAATACAAAAGTGAAGATGGTCAGATTTTAAATCCAGCTATCTCCCACCCTTTTCATACTGTTACATCTTTTTGCCTTAATTGATGCTTTCGAACTGTGGTGTTAGAGAAGACTCTTGAGGGTCCCTTGGACTGCAAGTATATCAAATCAGTCAATCCTAAAGGGAATCAACCCTGAATATTCATTGAAAGGACTGATGCTGAAGCTGGAACTCCAATACTTTGGCCACCTGGTGCAAAGAGCCAACTCATTGGAAAAGACCCTGATGCTGGGAAAGACTGAGGTCAGGAGGAGAAGGGGACGACGGAGGATGAGGTGGTTGGATGGCATCACCGACTCAATGGACATGAGTTTGAGCAAGTTCTGGGAGATGGTGAAGGACAGGGAAGTCTGGCGTGCCACAGTCCAACTGAGCAACTGAACAACAACAATCTCCCACCCAACAGATTTCAGATTGTGAACCATGAGCAGAAATTATAGGTACAGAAAACTCTGGGGTCCTTTCATCGTCCTTACCTGACACATGAACTCCACAGGATTTGCAGCATTGGACAATAAATTCCCAATTTCCTCCATGTCAGTATAATAGCTGATAATGGTGTCACATACCACTAAGTCCCCGGAATATATCTTCAGAGAAGCATTCCCAGATGAAAGGTCTGGATGGAAGAAAAGATACTAAAAAACTGTTGGGTTTTTTTTTTTTAATAAGAGTACAGGGGAAAGTCTTCCTGGATTACTTAAACAGTGAAGAAATGAATTGGGGACTGGAAGAAAGGGCTTGGAGGTGAACTGTAGGGTTGGGAAGTGAGGGACAGAGCAGAAGAAGCAGTGGGCAGACTAACACACAGGAGAGCTCTGGGTCAGAGGGATTATCCGCACTGGGTCTGCAACTTAACTTTTCGAAGATTGCCATCTGCTTTACTCACTACTGCAGGCCCCGAGTCACAATAGACAGGAAGAAGAGCTGGATTTAAAGCACTTTATGTAAAGGCCGGTGGCCACCAGAGGCGGGGGAGATGCTGGCCAGTGGCCACCAGAGGCGGGGGGATGCTGGCCAGTGGCCACCAGAGGCGGGGGGATGCTGGCGGTGGGACTCCGCACTTCACCCATCACGCCAGTAGAACTGTTTCGCTCGCTGTGCGGCCGTCACTACTGTGCGCTCTCCTGGAGGGCTCTCTCTGCTACACCACAGGAAGGGGTTTTGAGGGGGAAAGAAAAAATTAAAAATACACCAACCACAAAGATTCGATTCACAAAAGAGGAAATGTGACACGTAGAGAACATGGAAAAATACTTAACCTCGCTAGCAACCAAAGAAAGGCAAATTAAAACCATGGACTACTTTTTAGAAACATATTAAACTAGCAAAAATATTCAAAGTGACAAGGCCTAGTGTTGGTGATGAGATAGCAGATAAACTTGACAGTAGTAATATCCCATAAAGCCACTAAGCATCATCTTTCAGGACCCTTAAAAACGCCCAGTGTTTCAGGAATTCCATCTCGAGGACACTAACCTGCATGCATAAAGAGGCTCAATACATCATCACTTAAAATAACAAGAAGACAATAAGAAATCAAAAATGACATAAATAGGCAATAATGAGGAAATGAAAATTAAAAGATATTTCTATTCAGCTGAGTGTTATATAGCTTTAAAAATTATGATTTTAAGATATAGGTCCAATTTAAGGGGCTAGTCTTATAAATTATGGTACATCTACACATTGGATTACCTTGCAACCATTAAGCATCATTTTGTCAAAAGAATATTTATTAACATGGGAAAATATTCACAGTGTATTTTCAGGTAATGATAGTTAGTTGCAAGACAAAGTTATGTACACAGATGTGGGAAAATACAGAAACCAGTGATTTCCTTTGGGGGCATATGGGTAATTTTCCACCTACTTTCTTTTATGGTTACTGTATTCTCCAAGTTTTCTATATTGAGCACACATTACTTTTGTAATAGAAAAAAAATTATAAAATTGAGAGTTTCAAAGTCCATGTAATAGTACAGTGGTAAAAGGATGGAGACAGGATAAATTAAGATTACATAAAGAAAATCAGAATATAAGGTACTAGATGCTATTGGAACAAATATGCTTTTAAAAATTAGGAACAAAGGCAAAGAAGACCCAGTGACAGGGTGTCAGATGACTTTATCCCTACTTCTCCTATTTTTCTCTAATTTTAAAAAATGTTAATACATTAACTTTGTAAACATTGTAATATATCCATTTCCTCCTCATCATACATGTATGCTTCTACAACTTCTTTTTCCTTTCAAGAGAATATAACAACAAACCCAAATCTTGGTTGTCACTTTTCTCAATGACTGATAAAGACAGCTGTCAACAAGGTAAAGAAAGAAGGGACCTCTTCACACGAGGCCTAATTTCTGGAGGTCAATGGGGCTACTTACTGGGAGCTTTCACGGAAACAGTGTACTCATTCTCCAGCTTGGCTTCCACCCTTATTGAGGGAGAATCCTCACGAGAAAATTCGGCTTCTGTTGTCACCTTCTCATCCAACTTACATCTCACGATGACATAGACAGTGGTTTCTGCCTGGAATGGGAGACCAGTCATTGTTCCTTCTCCCTGGTTTTTGGAGCCCCAGCTCTCCCCAGTGAAGCTGCTCCAGAGCGGGGTGGGGTCTACAGTCCAGTGCCAGGCAGTGACTGCTTGCCACAGGTCCCAAAAGACCAGTTACAAAGCCCAAGAGTGAACATTTATAACCCTTAATAGCAATTTGATCATCTTATGTCTGTCAAACCCAATAATAATTTTAAAACCTGGGGCTGGTATTTTATATGTCTGTTCATTTACTTTTTTATAGCATTTCTTTTTTGTTGTATTATAAAAGTATTGGTCTGTGGCAGAATTGGAAACTTGAAAGAACAACATTTTTAAAATGTTCTTCACCACAGATAGTTTGAGAAGCAGTATTCTAGATCAGGGTCTTTTCTAATGAGTCAGTTCTTCGCATCAGGTGGCCAAAGTATTGGAGTTTCAGTTTCAGCATTAGTCCTTCCAAAGAATATTCAGGACTGATTTCCTTTAGGATGGACTGCTTGGATCTCCCTGCATTGGAGGATTAATTTCCCCAAGGCATTGAGCAACCTGAGTGCAGTTTTATATTGTTTTGAGATCTCTTGTCAAACCTGCCAGATGGAATTATCTATTTTACTGTGATGGTTATCCTGGTTAAGTTCTTAAGACATTGAACTAGAAAAGACACGCTGTCCAAAAAACAGGGGAAAAGGAGAAATTTCTGGCCATAGCTAATCCCCAGAAGTTCATTGTAAAATTCTGCTATCAAGCTTTTAGAGTAGGCCTTTGTGATGAGGGCCACTCTTGATTCCAGAGCAGCTGGGAGGGGGGCTGTGGTCCTGGCTCACAGAGGCTGCTAAGGGTGAATGTGAGTGTGTTTGTGGTGAACCTGTCTCTCACTGTGGGTCCAGCCCTGTCCAACCTGCTCCTTCTCCTAAGGAGGGTGGGGAGCCAGTGAAAATGAGTGTGTTTCCCCCTTGACAGTCATGACCCAACTCCAGCTCAGCTGCCCCAGGATCCAGAGACCTGGAGCAGGCATCAGAGAGAATCCTGGGTCAGTGGGAGCCAGCACAGGAGAAAGAGCCAAAGCCTGGAAAACCAGGGAGGTATGGGTGGGGTATTATTCTTCAGTTCCAAACCCTCCTCAGTCTGCTGCCTGATGTCAGGATGAGAGGGGCGTGGGGAAGGCAGGAAAGAGTATAGGGAGACTAGAAACTGCATGCCCACCATAAAGCTTGGCTGATCAGGAAAAGGAGTGAAGTGGGTACCAAAAAAAAGGGACTGATGAGAACCAGGGATGCATCTAATGGCCCAGCTGCTCATCTCAGACCTGGTTGTTACCAGATTCTGATCCAAAGGAAGCTGGAAACATATTTTCATGCCTAATTTTTAAAACACTGAGCAGCTCAAACCAAACACATCTATGAGTTCAATCCAGTCTGAAGAAGCAGCTTGCAACCCCCATGGAGGGCATCCTTGCCCAATGCCTTGAGGTCTCAGGCTGCACAGAAAGCCACTCACAAGTGCAGAGAAGCTAAGACTTCCCATTTCCATGGCCCTTCCGCCCTCTTGCCTCCAGGAGACCACAGTGGCAAACTAGCACAGGCTCCTACCCACAAGAAAGCATTTCACTGCTCTGAACCAAATATTACACATTTTTCATCAGAAAAGGAAAGATAATGAAAAACTATCAATACTGTGGTAGTATTCAAATGACAGTGGCTCATCAGTTGGTTATCACATTCAAATCATCTCTTAACGTGGGTCCTACCCCTGAAAATGTTAGTCATGTTATGCTCAGGCATTACGGAGAAGGCAATGGCACCCCACTCCAGTACTCTTGCCTGGAAAATCCCATGGACGGAGGAGCCTGGTAGGCTGCAGTCCACGGGGTGGTGAAGAGTCAGACATGACTGAGCGACTTCACTTTCACTTTTCACTTTCATGCATTGGAGAAGGAAATGGCGACCCACTCCAGAGTTCTTGCCTGGAGAATCCCAGGGACAGGGGAGCCTGGTGGGCTGCCATCTTTGGGGTTGCACAGAGTCGGACATGACTGAAGCGACTTAGCAGCAGCAACTCAGGCGTTAAGCTTCTTCCTTTTGCAAGTGATACTGGCCAGCAAGCTTCAGCCATCAAGCTTTGAGGCACTTTGGGGCCATACAAGGAGCCAGCTGACAGAAAAGCAAGCTGTCAAAATGCCCAGCACTGGGCTGGAAGGACCAGACCCAGGCCTCTAACTCCAGGGTTGGCGTATAGTGTATTGTAATGTTCATGTCTGCTGGTCTTCAACACATTCTAAGTTTTTGTCTCATGAACTTAATGTCTTGAATTGATGACACATACATTCCTGGGCTCTTCTCCCTTTGACTTAAAGGAGTGAGGCATGTCCAGGGCCCAGGCCCTGGGGGTCCCAGGGTGGCTAATGTATATGGAAGCCCTACAAGAAAGCTGGGATTACACAAAGGTGTGACAGGAGAATACCGCTCCCTTTACTACATCCACTGAAAAGCCCTGAAGCCCGCGCTCCAACATCCATCCACCAGCCCCAGAGGTGCCTACCCCACAGCGGATGCGCTCCGGCTGCACCACCATCAGGTTCCCAGGCGGAGTCTCCGGCGGCGGCAGGCTCTGCTGCTTTGAGTAGGGAAGGACCTTCTCGTCCTCAGTCTCGGTGTCAGTGACTGAGTCGCAGCCAGAATCTACGGCACAGAGAACACAGCTGAATGGAAAGAAAAGGAAGCGGAGCTGGGCATGTCCCACCCCCATTAAAACCCCAAATGTTACCAAATAGGAAATGGCTCCGAATGTCAAACAAATACAAGCTGAAGGGAGTGACTCAGGAAATCATGAAAGAGGACCTCTTGGGGAAAAGTCAACCCCCATGGGGGCCACGAGGATAGGGTGACGGCAAGAAGATGATGGAGGAGAGGAAGGCCAAGACGTCTGGGGCAGGCTGCTGTCTGAGGCCGGCAGGTCTGGTCGCAAACAACAGACTTATGCAGGCTTCACCTCTGGACTTCTTGCAGGGCTGGCTTTGGTGACTGAGGAAAGAGGCCCCTTCTCCTCAATGGAAGGGGTGTCAAGACTAGGCTGTCCACTTAAAGGCCATCTTTTGAACATCAGGTAAAACCTGTGCTTTCCAGGAAGTCACTATTCCTCAAGGTCATGGCTAGCCAGCCTACTCCCTCCAGGGCAATGGTAAAAGGCAATCACTTTCAACAAACCTTAGAGAGTCATAGAGAGTCACTGGGTCCCAAATCAGTACCACAGCCAACACCCCTGCCATGGGAAGACTGGAGCGTGCTCAGATTTGGAGCAGGTGAGCAGGGGTGTGCAGATAGAGCATGGCATGGAGTGAGATGATGCTGAGATGGGGGTACTTGCAACCTACCAGAGCTCTAAAGCAGGGACTCTTAACCAGGGATCAACAACTGACAGGATGCCTGTGTGCAAGATTCTCTGTGTGTCTGTGTGTGTGCATGTGTGTGTGTGTGTTTGCCTAAACTTCCCTGGAGATAGTCCAGAGCTTCATCAGATCCTCAAAGAGGAACAAAATGGTTAAGAACAGCTGCAAGGAACAGGAAAGTCCATCTAGTCCCTTCCTCAGGCTTGTTCTTCTCCATTTCTAAACCACCAACAGAGCCAGCCAACTGTGCCAGGTGCTGCAAGAACACGAGTGTGAACCAAACACCCATCCTGCCTTCAGAGAGCCCATCTTCTAGAAAGGCTGGAGAGAAGTTAATTTGGCTGATTCCGGCAGGCTGGCCTCCCATAGAAGGAGTGACATACATCCTGGGAGAAAGCTGGGGTGGCAGATCAGGCAGATATGTCCCCAAAGAAAGCTGTAACACAGGCTTGCTCTCTAGATCCCAGGTCATGCCAGGGGAGGGCTGTGCTCCCACCACTATGAAGGCTGAGGTGCCAGAGCAGGTGTGGGGAACCAATCACCACCTTGTCCTAGGGCCGTAACTGTGAGTCAAGGGTCTCCAGAACCTGCCCAGGCCAGGGGAGGGCCCAAGGCCTCCCAGATATGCAAGTGAAAAGCTCCATAGCCTTGGGCAGGGGTCTTGTCCTGGAGCCTGACATGTGTTCTGACAGATGTCTACACACTGGTCCAGTGTGTGATGGACAGTCAGGCAGGTACCGATTTCATCCAAGACGCACTAGTCCAGAAGGCGGGGCTGAGTGCAGCCTGGTCTCTGACCTTGTTAGCACAATGGGAATCTGGGCAGAAGTTAGTGCTGAGTCCCAAGGAGACAGATACTGTTTCTCACTCTGCGCCAGAGCCACAGTCTCCTCTATCTCTCCTTTCCTTTCAGGCCTACTGACCCCTGTCACTCAGGGCTAATGACCAGTGCCCCTCGACCCCTGCACACAGGCTAAGTGCAGTAGTCTCCCCACCTCCGTGCCATCCAAGCCAGATTAAGGGAAGGCTGATATTTTCTCCACCGGATCTGCCCTTCTCCACAACATTTTCTCCTTGAAAGTGAAAAGTGAAATTTGCTTAGTTCTGTCCTACTCTTTGCGACCCCATGAACTATAATATCCATGGAATTCTCGAGGCCGGAGTACTGGAGTGTGTAGCCTTTCCCTTCTCCATGGGATCTTCCCAACCCAGAGATCAAATACGGGTCTCCTGCATTGCAGGCAGATTCTTTACCAGCTGAGCCACAAGGGAAGTGCAAGAATACTGGTGTGGGCAGCCTATCCCTGCTCCAGCGGATCTTCCTGACCCAGAAATTGAACTGAGGTCTCCTGCATTGCAGGCAGATTCTTTACCAACTGAACTATGAGGGAAGCCCTTCTGCTTGACCGGTCACTATTAAAATGGCCAGGGCCCATCCCCATGAACAGAACTACACATGCTACCCAGGTACACTCCCACCCACCACGGGAACTTGTGAAAGAAAGAGCCAAAAAATCAGGGACAATTAATATTCTTCCTGTTAATAACTATGTAACACCACATCAAGCTTTAGTTTTGTATCATGCGATGCCTAAACATGTCAGTTTTTCATTTCTATGGTTCTTCCTGGATGAGAAAATAACCTCATTGACTTACCACATTCACCAGTCACTTAAAACTGCAAGAAACTCCCTGGAACTACTTATGGATCTAGAATTGTTTAGATACTACCCTGAGTGGGTACCAACTTTTGCCAACTACCTATTCTAATTTATTGTACAGATATAATTGCCTTAGGATAGACTCACAGTACGGTCTATTGCTTCAAAAAAGAAAATCTCTTCATTTCTCCCAAATTGCTGACCCAGTTAGTTGGCTGGCCAAAGAATTAAAGCTCTAATAAATAAAATCAAGAAAAGAATAGAGAAATAGAAATAAGCCAAACAAGAAAGAGATGATAACAACAAATATGGAGAAAATTTTAGAAATATACTGATGTGAAAACTTGTTGCTAATAGTTTTTTTTTAATTTCAATACAATTTTTACAGAAAATATATAAACTATCAAAACTATTTCAAAGTAAGTAGAAAATTTGACTAAAACAATAATCACAACTTTTTCTGACTTTCAAATAAAATGTAAAGTACAGGTCACACACCTTTCCTGTGCTGAATTTTAAATTGTAGTTGCCACAGTGTTTCCTATCTAGAAAAATTCCATTTATATAGGTTTTCTGTCTTCTACTAAAGTTTACAAAAACAATAAAAGATAAGTCTTATTTTATATTAAATGTATAAAAAAATTTAACAGAGCAATTAAATACAATAGACAACTCCCAAACCAAGTTTCATCCTCACAAAAACTTAGTATGTGACAATCCCTTGCACTCTCTTTCCAACCCCACCCCTGCAGGATGGCTCCCACAAAGAAGGGTGGTGAGAAGAAGGGCCGACCTGCCATCAAAGGAGTGCCCAAAGAATACACTGTTAACATTCACAAGCTCATCCTTGGAGTGGGTTTCAAGAAGTGTGCCCCTTGGGCACTCAGAGAAATCTAGAAATTTGCCACGAAGGAGATGGGAACCCTAAGTGTGCACATTGACATAAGGCTCAACAACCCTGTCTGGGCCAAAGGAATAAGGAATGTCCCATACCCTAGTTGTGTGCACTTGTCAGAAAACATTCACTGAACAAACCACACATTGGTTACCTATGTGCCTGTCACAACTTTCAAAAATCTACAGTTAATGTGGATGAAAATTAACTGCTGATTGTCCAAAAGTTATTGAACTGCCAAAAAAATAAAAAACAAAAACACCTAAATATGTAATAAGGAAAGCACTAAAAATCAGTACAGAATAAAGAAAATGTTTGGTGAAAAGGATGACTCAGCAGGCGGTACTGAAAAAATTTAGCTATATG